TTTGGGCTTTGTTCACCGCTTGTGGTCCGAGGACGCGGGCGCTCCGCGTGGGCTCTATACAGCACCCCCAGGAAAGAAGCATCTCCCTTGGTATGAATGGGCTTCAATTTGCTTATTAGAGTCGGGCCTTCAGATCTTAGTTAAGATCGTGACCAACTCATGTGCCTGCAAAACCCTGCGGAGCCAGAGTGGGCTCAGCGATCCTAAGAACCCACAAGTTTACTGTGGGACTTGTGTTTAGGGAGAGGGTCAAAGCTTTCACCAGATGCTCATATAACCCCAAAGGAGTGAGGACTTTTGCTTAGGGTCTGGAGTCTGACGATCTGGAAAGATCCTTTTCTTAGCCGGTACCAGAGTGCTGTCTCCTGCAGGCAATGTTTAAATGGTTAAAAATATTGCATTTCTATGTCCACTTTATAGATGCGAAAACTGGGGCAGAAAGTTTAAGGGCCTAACCCAAAATCATATGGAGCTAGAATTCCACTGGGCTCAGTTTTTTTCTGATGTCATCCTCAACACCTCTGCAATTGTTCATGTTTTATAACTGCCCTCACAGTGAATAGGGCCAGTGTGTTAGATTGTGCAGGAGGGTGACGTGAAGGAGAACTGGTATCACTGAAATGTCTTACCTGGGGTTGGGGACCAGGCCAGTGCCAGGGAAATGACCACAATACTGAGAAAACGGAGTGCAGGAACTGTTTTCCCTTAGCACGTATAGTCTTCTGTGCGATACTCCAGACATTTGTCCTTAATTGGGTGTGTTAGGAGAGAACGGAAGAGAAAGGCCGTCTGGGCTCTGCCTCTGCTCTGCTGTGTCTTGAGCGTTTCCAGTCAACCTTTTAGAATGGTGGGTTTTGTTGTCAGGAAGTGAATGTCTTACCCCGTGCCAAGATTAATCCAAGAAGGCAGCATGGAGAGAGTGTGCAGTGGACTGGCCAGCACACCATCCTAGGCTCAGGCATGCAGGAGACAGAGGGTTCAACAATTGATGCTCCTCTGTGCCTCATGGAAAGTGCACACACCAAGTTCTAAGTTCTTTTTAGCATCTGTTGGTCCTGGGTCAAGGTCAGGCCCACACTGGCCCATTGCCTCGCCAGTGCCTTGCCCTAGGTAGGCACTGTCCCCTGGTCTCGGGTGTGTCCCTGGCCTCGGGTTCCTGGACTCTAAGGGAAGCACCTGGTAAGCAGTCTTGGGGGTCCTGTCTGCTGCTGCAGACAGACAGCAGTCCCCAGCTTGCTTCAGAATTTTGCAAGCCTTGCTGCTGTTCAGGGCAGTTGGAGGGAGGTGTGTGTGAGAGCAGCTGCCAGGAGTTGTCTGAAGCGTGTTGCCTTCAGTTAACACAAAGCTGCAGATGTTGAGCTTGTGAAAGATGAGCCCCAGATACTTGTGTGGTTGAGGGACAAAGTTGCCTTGAGGATGAGATGTGTATTTTTATAAAACATTCTTAGCATTTCAGTCTCGGGAAGTGCTCTCTCCAGTGGACCTCAGGTTTCTGTGTAGTTGTATCAGATGAGTGTTTTCCGATCATCGAGGGTTTGCAGCCTGAATTTCCTGTGAACTTCATAACCCTATAGATAAAACAAGCAGCCTTGGCTGAATCCTAGAAGACAGGTGAGTGTCCCAGCCTGTCCTGGTCTTCGTAGTTCTTCCAGCGTCGGGTTGCCCAGGTTTTGTGGAACCCTGAGACAACTCTGTCTGGTCTGAGAGGAGCAAATAAATACGGCTGAACACTGAGCTTGAAGCCTGTTGTAGCTGATAGCCCGCTAGGGAATTGCTGTTGCTGGCATTTCTGAGCAATCTTCCCCCTGCCGAGAGCAGCAGCCTCCTAAATGGATGTATGTTAAAGGTTGACTCCTGAACTCATAAACGTGCTCCTTGCACTTGAGCAATAATTCAAAAATCGCTTTGGACCAGAAACCACATTTTGTTGATTGAAGCTCAATGCATGTTTCTGCCGTTCATCTCGGCCAGCTTCTCGGCCCGGGCTGTTGGAGGCAGCAGGGTGAAGTGAAATTCACATGTCCTGGTGGGAGACCTTTTTCAGCTTTTCTGCTGCATGGCCTTTAGACAAAGGCAGTATGGTTGCTGATTTCATCCCCCCAAAAAAGATCTCTTGGCCCATTAGCAAAGGCCATGTTACCCCTGGAGGGTCCCATAACCTCTGACTCTGACAGCCCTGGCAGCCGTCCTTGGAGTCCTCTGGATGGAGCCCGCATGCATCTGGGATCTCTCATCTGTGAATGGGTTCAGCTCTGTGATGAAGAGCAGTATGGGCTGTGATTTTAAGAGATGTTAGGACTTCTAGTCCTTATTTAGATTTTTTATTTCATGCAAGTAGAAGGGAGAATTAAACTATAAAGAAATAAAGGTAAGTAGCCTACAGCAAAGACTTATGGAGGTAATAGCACCTCACGTGAGGAAGCGAGGCCCATGACGTAAAAGCCCGAATAAGGGATGCTTACTGCCCTTCCCAGGACTCAGACCTCTTGTCACTGGAGTAGACACAAGTGACCAGTTTGCCAGGATTTCCCACAAACACCTTGCATCAGGCAGCTTGGGATTTTGTATCAATGCTCAGCTGGCTGATAGGCCGCAGGCCCTTGCCCACTTGTACAGGTGCTGTTGGCATCTCCAGGTAACAGAGGAAAGCTCGCTCGCGCCCAGGGTGAGGGCAGCAGGTTCTGGCAGGCTGGCGGAGCTGCAGGTCCCGCAGGGGCCAACGGCGCTGGTGCACTGTTGCTGTGTTGAGTGCATCTCAGTGAGGGAGGCGGGTAACTGTCTGGACGAGGGCTGCACCCAGCTCCATTGAGGCAGGCAGGGCTGGCCTGGCCCGAGGTTGCAGTCATCCATGGACCTTCTCCCCACTGTCCTCAGGCCTGGCACCTCCTCCCACCGTATCCTAGGTACATCCCGAGTCTCTGATGCTGCTGCACACGGGCCTGAGCATTAGTGGAGAGCAGGTCGGTAACGTGGGCAGAGACCCAGGGCTGCTCTTTCCCCGGAACTTGATGGCACCCTCTGAATCCTTTTGTTTCCTGCACTAGATGTGTAGAATGTTCCAGCCAGGCCCGCCAGTTAACAAAGAACGGGAGATAACCAGGGGAAACTAGGCTTCCATTCAAGTAATCCGAGTCTGTGGGTGCTGCAGGGTTGGACTGTACCCCAATTGAGGTCATTCTTTGAATAATTGAAGTGTGGCGAAGACATTCTCCAGTCCCGGCTGCTTTGTCACCCCTTTGCACGCTGACTGCAGGGTGCGTCCTGTAGGAGACTGTTTTCCTCCAGCCACCTACATGGGGGTGAGCCTGACAGAACCTTCCCCCCACCTCCGGGGGGGGGTGCCCGTGACGTTGGGTTTGGGCCATGCAGAGTTCCCTAAGAGTTGGAATCTCCCACCACGAGGATGCGTTCCTCTTACACGTACCCGCCCCAGGCTGCTGGAACATCCCGCCAGGGCAGTCACCATGTGGGAGTTAGAATGACTGGATTTGGAGCTGTTTGGTCTTTTTCTCTTGAAGCCTTCCAAGAACGATTCTGGTCACAGACGGAGAACCCCTTCTTTGCTTTTAATGTCCTGGGATGATGATGATATAAAGGATGAAAGCAGCAGGGGAAGTTAACTGCTTCCCTTGCCTGTGGAACTGAGTGGAGAGTTCAGGGTTGACTCTGAGAGTCGACTTTGAGAAATGTATTGGGCATCTCAGAAACAGAGAGGAGGGCTGAGAGCATCAGAATGAGTGCCACCCAGAATCGGACAGGAGTCTTTTTAAGTGACACGTACTCCCCTCGACAGTGAGAGCATGTGGCCCTAGTGGCTGAGGGTGGGGACTAAGTGTACTGGCGGGGATGTGCCTCGTTCTGCCCGCTGTTGGTCCCTTGGCTCTTGGGCCAGAGGTGAGGACGAGCTGTCAGATCCGCCCAGCCCCACTCAGGTCTTTGTCCAGTGGAGAACTGAACACGGTGCTTCGATGTTTTCTCCACGGAAGGCCCCCTGGCAGTGTGGGCAGCGCACCGGGAGGGTGGGGAAGTTGGCCCATGTGATTGCTGTGCGGAGATGCCACGGGGCCCGAAGGCTGCAGGTCCCTGTGCGGCACTCTGCTTGCGATGGGAAAATGCAGCCTTGGCCCCAGGGACAGCGGTTTTAACACTCACCCCCTGTGTGACATGGCAGGTCTCTTGCAAATACCTGTATGAGGCGGTTTGCAGAGCAGAGGGGAGGAATGTCACGATTGGCTATTTTGTAGTGTTCTGCAGGTGTTTTATAAAGAGAAGTCAAAGGATGAAAATGAGCCTGAGCTTAACCAGTGAGCTCCTGGGGCTGGTTGGCATCCAAGTGGCTGACAAGGTGGTGATGACACCGGCCCCTCTGTCCACTGTGCAAACTGCTAGGGGAAAGTGCTAATGATGAATTGTTTTTTTTCTGTTTGCTGTTGTGAGATGGACTTGGGAAGCTGGAAGCAGCGTTGCAAGCTAATTCTTTTTTCCCTCTCTCTCTGTCTCTGTAGAAACTTGAAGGGTCTAAGTGCAAAGGGCAGCTTTTGATTTTTGGGGCAACCAACTGGGACTTGATTGGTCGAAAAGAAGTGCCTAAACAACAAGGTATGAGAAACAGTTTCTAAAAATAGAAGATGCTACTTGTATTGAGTGCTTCTTGTGTACTGGGTGTCCAGTGTGATTCTGGTGACCATCCTCCAGGTAGGTATTCTCGTCATGTGCAGAAGTGATCAGAGAGGCCATGTGACTTGCCCAAGGCCACACAGCCACTCTAGTTTTTGTGGGACGGGATTTAAACCCTGGTCTTGGGCAGGTTTCTCACTTCACAACCCTGCTTTTGAAAAACCATTTCTGTTGAGAAAAATACAAAGTAGCTTCAAATAAACACCAGTACCTTTTTCCCGTCTTTCTTTAAAGTCATTTGTTTTCGTTAAAATGAAGAGGCTGTTGCTGTGGGATGTCAGTACGTCCTAGATGTCTGTCGCAGGTCAGATGGCAAAGTGTTAGGCAGTTCAGAAGAGTCCGTGTTTCTTCGCAAACTGCCAAATGACTGTGGAAACTGGTTTGACATAGCAAGTAACAGTCTGGAGTCGGCAGCAGAGAAGTCTTAAGAAGTAACTTTTAATCCCCAGACGCTTTTAGAAAATTGGTGTGGTTCCTCACGAGAATACCAGCCCATCTGAGAGAAGTGAGGCTGGCACTTCGCCATGTTTTATGGCTTCTTGATTTCATTTGGAAAGATTCCCAAAGTACTTTCCAACATTGCCCAGTGAACAAATATTTGCACACTGACACTCCCTAGTGCCTCAGGACGGGCCGTGGAGATCATCTTATTCTGTGAAAACAGTGGGTGGAGTTTCAGCAGCTCTCGGGGTCCAGCCGAGTTGGAAATGGGGTTTGGTCATTGTCTTCCTGTGGTGGAAAGTGCCCAGCCTTCAGGACAAGCTGTCAGGGCCCGAGCCGCCTGACAGCTGGTGTCACCTGGAACCCCTCCCAGGGTGCGATAGCATCAGTCTCCCTGCCAGCCCCTGTGCATGGGTCGTGTTGTTTCTCGAGGCTGCTCTTTGAGTGAGTGGCCCACTTGCAATTAGAGATGCGCGGGCCCAGAGTGGAAAGTGGGTTCCAGTGGGGAGCCAGCGCAGAGCAAGTCCGCCTCTGCTGGAGGGAATTCTGCCCTGATGGGGCCCATTTTAAGAGCGCCTTTTTGTCTTCTCCCATTCCTATCTTTGCTTCCCTGATGTTTCTCCCTCAGAATGAAATTTTATATAATTAAAAATTTTTTTCTAAGTGTTTTTCAACGTCTTTGAGCTCTCTGACCTTGCCAATAGATGTGAAGGGCGGGGAGGGAGAATTTGTTTTCCCTCTGGTGCCAGACCTGAAGGGAAGGGTTTTCCCTCCCACCCAAGCCTTTCTCAGTCCCTCCCATCCTTGCAGTGAGCCTTCCCTCCTGGAGCCTGTCCGCCCGTGAGTCCGCAGCACTGTGGATCTTCTAAAGTCAGTAGCGCAATGCCTCCTTCGTTTTCAAGATAGTGCAGTGATTCATGCTCCACCTCTGATTAGGTCCAGGCCCCGGGCGTGAATGACCCCCTCCAACCTGGCCGAGTTGCCCAGCACTGCTGCTGCTGTGCATTTAATTTGACTTGGATCTTTCTGACAGTTCCCTGGGAGGCCAGGGATGCAAGCTGTCTGCATCTCGGGCGTTGACATTCATGGAGCTCATACAGGGGAGATGCTTTGGTAATTCTGACTCTCCACGCACCGTTTAGGAGGGGTCCACTTAGCCACCCTGGGTCAACCGTGGTGTCCCCTGGTGTCTCCCGGCACTGTGTGTTGTCCACAAACGTGGTACATGTCAACCATGCCATGCACATAGGTGTGAAGGCTGTTGTTTTTGGTTTGCTCTTTCCCAGGAAATTGCTGGGTTTTTTTTTTTTCACCTTTTAGTGGTAGAGAAGTGTCTTCAGATGGAGAAGCTCAGGATGTCTTCCCTCCTTTACCCAATCCCTTGTAACTAAATGAGAGGCTGTGCCTGGCGCCCTCTGCTGGTGGGGTACGGGCAGGGAAGAGTTTTGCAGATGTTTTCCCACTGAGCCAGGTACTGGATGGAGGAATCAGGACTTTTCAGTCAGTTTCTGCATTTGGATCAATCTAACAATCGATTTGGCAGCAGCTAGCATTTCATACTAGTAACCATGGGCCTAGAAGCATTCTCGTGTTTTCTGTCCTTGAGCCCCAAGTTGAGAGCATTAAGCCAAAATTTGGCCATGCCCTGTCCACCAGTAAGGTGAAGAGGGGTTGTGAAGGAGACGGCTGCCCTCCCCGACCCTGCTCCCTCTGCTCCAGGCAGATGGAGGCCCCGGACTAGAGGGGGCCACGGCCCAGGCCCTCAGGTTGCTAGTACTAGTAGGACAGTGCTGTGATAGGGTTCCCAGGGCGCCAGGGTGCAGAGAGTGACAAATTAAAAGGGAGACGTGGGCAAGGAGGGCTTCCTGGAGGAGGGGGTGCTTGACCTGAGATGTGAAGAACATGCAAGGGGGCAGAGAAAGGCTTTCCAGGGGAGCAAATTCATGGGCAAAGCTAGGGGTTATGACCTGGCCAGCATGATGAGACCCCTGAGGAAGATGGGGGGGAGGATCTGCTGGGCCCTCTACAGGAGGCCTGATAGCTGTGGAGGATGGGGACTCTCAGAGTTGGCCCCAAGGAAGCCCTGGGCTGGAGGGCGGGAGGGAGCCGTCGTGAGGGTGAGGAGATCTCTGGCTGTGAGAGGGGCAAGGGAGACTCAGGTCCGCCGCCTGCTCTCGTGAGTCAGCCCCTCCCCGACAGGTCTGCCCAACAGAGTGTGCCCACTTCTTGGTCACAGTCACCTGTGTGTGGCCAGCTCAACAGCAGCTGCCTGTGGGTCCAAGGTCCCCGCGGGTCAGGACCAGAGACGGAGGTGGAGCAGCATCTGTCCCGGAGCCCCCACGGGGATACCTTACACGGGGGTACCTTACGCGGGGGTGGGCCCTTTGGGGGTGGCTCTTCACCCACCCACCTTGGCTCCGCGGGTGTCTGATGTGCGTCCTTGTTCTCTCTGCAGCTGCTTACCGCAATCTCGGTCAGAATTTGTGGGGGCCCCACAGGTATGGGTGCCTTTCGGGGGTCCGGGTGCGGACAGTGGTTTCGGGGTCGTGCGCTGCCCACAGCCTCCTCATCACCACAGAAGGGAAGCTGTGGAGCTGGGGTAAGTACCGAGCGGGGCCTGAGGGTGGAAGGGAGACCCACGCCCACCTTCTGGGGTGGTGCTGCTCTGTTTGCGACCCTCTTCCTGATTCCCGACTGGCCTGTGCCCCGTGAGTGCATCACCTTCACTTTTCTGCCAGGTTTTGCTCTGTGTGTAGCCGCCTGTTTCTCTAAGTCCTCTTTAAGTCACCTTTTCCTCAGTATTCTCAGTGCACCTCAATCTTCCCGATATCGAGGTCCCTAGAATTGAATTCCTATTTTAAGCCTGCTGTCCCCCCAACACCGCCCTCCCCCCCGCAGCACAGCGTGATGTCGACCTCTGTTCTTGCCGCTTTAAATGCCATCGGCTTTTACATCTGCTACGTCGTGACATCAGTCTCTGCCGTCCTGTTTCTCTGTCTCTGACTACGTTTCCCCAGACAGTTGAGTTTACTTTATCCAAGGTGAATTGCTTGTCCTTCTGAACTCCTTCGTGCCGGACTCCCTGGCCCAGGTGCAGGGGCGGCCCCCTGCCCTCACCTCATCTCTCCCGTTTCTGTGTCCCCTGCCGAGGGCTAACGCCCTGCGCTTGTTTCCTCTTCCAGATCATTCGTACAGGTACTGGCGAAGGCTCACGCACCCCCACGCCCTCTGGAAGCTCCTGGACTCTTCTTCCAGTGGGGGTTGGCATTTATCCTCACCCTTTGTTTCTGGTCCCTTGGCCCGCTTTGAGTCCATATGACTGCATTTTTATTTTGGTCTGTTCGAACCATTTTTTGCAATTTCACGAGCTGCTGTACCAAAGTCCAAATATATTAACATCTGTTGTCTTCCCTGCACTCTTGCTAATTTTGTAATTCTGCTGAAAAAAAGCTAACAAGTGTGTCTGGCCCAAATTTAAACTTTATAGTTTCTCAGTGACACGCTGACATTGCCACGATTTTCATTTTCTCCCGGTTGGCACGGAGGTGTGTCCCTCCCCCAAAGCACCCCTCCTTCTTACTGTGCCAGCCCCGAACACAGCCTTCTGTGTTGCAGTTCCGAACTTCAGGTATCTTATTTCTGATCTCTCTACTGAATTTCACTTATGTGGTGCTTCTGAAAACGTCCCCTGTGCTGACCCTGTTGGCAGGGAACTATTCTAAAGGCTGTGCACCTGACCTGGCCCAGAGCAAAGATGTCCCAGGAGCAGACTTGCCGCTGCGGGGGGAGGAGCCAGTGGGGATGTCACGAGTCCACTGTGAGTCACTGGAAGGCGTCGGGCCTGGTCCAGTGTCCGTCACTCACAGGGTCTCCAGTTGTTGGCCACTCGGGCCTCACATTTGCCGAAAAACTGCTGCTGGTGCTTGTACCCCTTTAAAGTGCCTTTCACAGTGAACTTGGGCAGTTTCCACTAGAGCTGGTGTCTGCTTGTCCTGCCAGAGCCCTTAATCAAACCGAGGACAGTTTTCCCTTGTAGCTGGAGGCCGTTCACGCCTCATGCCCTCCCAGGACACCTGGGGCTCTTCTTTGTGACTCTGCTCACCACCTTTCATGCCTGAGAGGTCAGAGTTCATTGTTGGCAAGGATGTGGAAACATGACCCCCACCCAAATTGCCTGGCTTCCTGGCTCTGTAGAATCTCCAAAAATCTCTCCAAATGTTCAGTTACAAGTATAGTTCAGTAGAGAGGCTTGGGAGAGGCCCATGGAGGTGTTTAATTTTGGAACTGTTGCAGCCTGTGTTGGAAACAAGGTAACTTTTAGGGGTGTCCAGCCTCTTGGCCCTCCCAGCCCTCCACGTCTCCTTTGAGCTGAAGGGCTTAGCCTTGTGGGGGGGAGCTGTGCGTTGCAGAGGGCCTGGCGGGGGTTGGCCTCCTGGGGCCTTCCTGCCACCTGAGTCCACGCCAGCAGAGCCCAGAGGTGGAGGAGGGCCGGTCGCCAGGGAGGGCTTGTGTTCAGGGCAGGTCTGGCCTTTGGCCATCATCGGGGTTCACGTGGCTAAGGGTCCTGTGAGTGCTGGTCCATAGAAGGTGGGGTGAGATAGAAGGAGAGGAATGAAGGGGTCCCAGGTCGATGCCCAGAGCTCTGTGGTATCCAGCTTCCTGTGAGGCAGGTGTCACTGTCTTAAAATACATCTCGGAGTGAAGCGGATGAGGGAATTGGTGTCTGGCAGGTACCGTGAGAAGCAAGCTGTTTCCTAGGGCTCGTCTGCTCGTGTGTGACATCTGGGCTGAACCCGGTGTTTCTGCCGTTGCCCTTGGGGTTTGAGGGCTGGGGAGAGTGGGTCCCAGTCACTGCCCCAGGAAAGAGAGTCAGAGCAGGTGAACAGGCGACTTTGGGGACAGCCCCGCCCATCTCACCTGGTCACCCGACCCCACTCGGCAGCCCGGGAAGGCTGGCGTTGCCTGCAGAGCCAGCTTGCTTTCTCGGGCCCTTGGCTGCAGGTGCAGAGGACCCGGAATCCTCGCCTCTGCAGCTGCTCGGGTCGCCCTCTGTCTCCTTCCCACTTGAACCTGCTCTCAATCCACAGGGCGGAATGAGAAGGGGCAGCTGGGACATGGCGACACCAAGAGAGTTGAAGCCCCCCGACTCATCGAGGGTCTCAGCCACGAGGTGATCGTGTCCGCGGCGTGTGGGCGGAACCACACCTTGGCCTTGACGGGTAAGGAAGGGCTGCTTCCTTCGAAATGGGGTCAGAGGCCAAATGGTCCACCTGGGGCGGGCAGTGGAGCACCCCCGTGACTCCTCATGTGAATGATGGCCCCAGGGAGCCCGGGGGTGGCTTCTCCAGGCCTTGAGCCTCACCTGCAGGTCAGCTTTGAGGCACCTGGCCCACCCCCTTTTGGAAAATTGTCTCACTTGCCTTCTTCCTGGCAGAGGAGCTGTTTTATTATTTTAGAGCCTTTGATTCCAAATCTAGTTCAGAACACTTGGCATTATCTTCCCTTTTGTAATGAACGTCACTCTTTCCTTCTAGAAACGGGCTCCGTATTCGCGTTTGGGGAGAACAAGATGGGGCAGCTGGGCCTCGGCAACCAGACGGACGCTGTTCCCAGCCCCGCGCAGGTACCGCCCTGCTCTGGTGCTTCTCTCTGCTTTTGTGTTGGGTTTGCTGGGTGGCGGGAGATCAGGCAGTCCTCCCCATTGTTTGAGTTACTGCTCCCTTGTAAGAACAGGGTCTTGATGCTTTGAGTGGAGCAGGTTTAATACAGGGTCACAGTTGAAGAACATTCTGAAAAACGGTTTTTCATCCCGACTGAATTTGTTACAGAGGCCTCTTTGAAGCCCGCTCCTATTCCGGAGAAAGTGAAATTGTTACATGGGCGTGATTTGTCCTTACCTGCAAACACCTTGAGTTTTGATTTTGTAAGAAGTCACCTGCCAGGTGCTTAGAACACAGATGGGGGGGGGGGTGGTCTTATTCCCAAGACGCTTTGAAATAATTGGAGGGGTGGGCTTTATGCCGAAAAAATAAACTACTGGTATATGGCAGCAGGATGCCAGGGGGAGTGTCTGATGGGGGCGGGGACTCGGGTTTCTTGGTCTTAAAAAGAGACAGTGGCCAAGTGCGGCTGTAGTTGGGAGGGTTTTTGAGGTGTTGCCGTTTTGCCAGTCATGTGCTCTGCGGTGGAACGTGACAGTTCCCAGAGTGAGCGGGGGCCCGGGACGGAGCCCAGGACTCAGCATCCTGTCTCCAGTCTCAGAATTTCCCTCGATGCCGATACTTCACGCCCCACCGTTCCTCCAATCTTGGCTTTCCCAGACTGATTAGTTTGCAATAGCAAGCTTTCTAAGTGCTTCCTCAGATTTGTTTCCAGGTCCCATGTTAAATTACTCGGGGCCTTTGCTGTCGTCTTCTAACTTCTGACTTTGGACCATTATGTTTCCTATTCACGTTTCAGTGAAGACTAATTAGCAGGCAGCTGTTATAGTGGTACAGGAGAGTGTGAAACAGTTCCTTATTAGTGGTTGGCAGTAACACTTACAAAAACTTTTCTTTTTAAAGTTGCCTGACATCAGAACTAGTGACTAGAGTGAGATTTGAGTACCAAATGTGCTTGGTTTCTTGTTTCTTGTGCCCTGGCCTCCATGATGGCCAGTTGAATTCAGTATTCACTGGGCACCAGGATGCACAGGGCACAATGTTGGGCGTTTTGAGGGCTATAAAGACCTGGGACATGATTTACCTGTCTTTGAACTTGACTCTGTACTGGGAGGTATTTCTTTACAAACATTCTAAGCCTTTTCCTTCAGCATTGTTGAGTCCATCAAATATCCTTTGTAGCCTAGTAATTGTTTCTCACCAAGCTGTGGAGAGGTTGTCTTTTTATCAATTGGAAAAAAAAATGTCTGAAAGTCTACTGTCTTTCCTTTTCAGATAATGTACAACGGCCAGCCAATTACCAAAATGGCCTGTGGGGCTGAATTCAGTATGATAATGGACTGCAAAGGAAACCTCTACTCCTTTGGGTGCCCTGAATATGGTCAGCTGGGTATGGAAGTACATTTTTAAAAGCTCTGTAAATCTGTATGTTTAGAACCAGAAGTCGGTGTGGGGCTGCACACACATGATAGAAATGTGGGTAATTGATCGCAGATAATAGCCTTGAGCCATTAAGTGGCTGTCCTGTTACTTAGCGGACCAGCATGGCGTAACTCGTGGGATTGTGGAGTCTTACAATGACTTGCCTTAATGAAAGTCTGGGCTTGAGTCTGACAAAAGAGTTTTTTCTGATTTGGGAATTCATTTTTACATAAAAGGGTTTCAAAGTTTTTTTTTTTTTTATCAAACCACGTTCATTCATTTTCATATTTTAAGATTTACCTTTATTGGAAGTGTGGAAATTACTTGAGAGTAAGGTTGTCCTGGAAACCCTGGCCTGGGCGATTATTTCAAGTAGCACATGAAGACCCAGTATCGTGTAAAAGTAGGATTCCCTTCCCGTTTTTCATCCCTAAACAGAATGTACCCGTCCCAGAACATGCTTGTATTTCATTGAGCAGAAGAGAAAAACTCAGTAAGTGGAAAATGCCTCCTGCTCCTGATTTTACAAGGTCTCCATTTTCTTTTCCCATCTGACACCAAAGTGTTTTTTCCCTTCTGGCGTCTTCCCACCTCCCGGCTCCTTCCCGGTGGGAGGTGAGGAGTGGGCGCCCTCTGCTGGCTCCTTCGCTGCATGCCGCTCCGGATCCTCGGCAGCCCCCGGATCTGGGTTGCCTGGGTCTCCACGTCATTAAAAGCAGGCAGATGGAAGACAGTATAAATAGCACGAGCAGCATCTCGCTGGCCTTTAGACTTTAGGGAACAGTGACTTTGTGAAACTAAATATACCTAAGTCAGAAGTGAATAAGAAAGAACAGCCCCTGTGCACAGTCAGTGTTGGTTGCCAGGGAGTTGCCAGAGACGGTTGGAGAAACCGTTTCCATGGCCACAGGCCCCGGTGCCATCCCCAGCCCCGGGCAAAACACCGGAAGCGAGTTTCTGGTCTACTTCCTGAAGCGTGTGTGGCTCCCCTGCTGCCCGTGGCTGCCCCAGATCTGCGGATGGGCGGCTTGACGTAGCAGGTTGATTTTCCTTCAGGGAAATGAAATGATCTTGGTGGTGGTGACACTGGCTAACATCTAGTGAGCCGTTACTGTGAGCCAGTCCCCATTTATGCACCTTCTAGCAATCTCATCTGCCTGGTTGATACTCATTTAAAGGTAGTTTGAGAAATTCACTTGATTTGTGCCTATAGAATCATTCTTAACTTCCCAGCAAATTTAAAAACCAGTATTCAGTCTCATGGTCCAAACCCAGAGAGATCCCTTTTCAAGTTAGAAGGTGACCTTGGAGATTACCCGTCCCCCTGGCACACACGCTTGCCCCCACACTTTCTTTCACACATTTATTGGGTCAGGCAAGGCAGAGACAAGAATGTGCTTTTAACTCTGTTTTAACAACCACGATTGATACATCAGGTTACTGGTAATTCATAAAAACACAACTCTGAGGAAGTGTGTTGAACTTTTGTCCTGTCTCAGTCCACCCTGGGCTCCTCAAGGACCCTGCGTGGGGCATAGAGAAGATGACGACCATTCCTTTGGTTCGGCAGCTTCCAACCTTTTTGACTGCGGCCCTCAGTGGGAAATGCGTTCTGTACATAGCCCAGCTGACGTAGAAGCGCATACAAAGAATTTTCACAAAATCCTGTTACAGTGTCCTTGGGTGTTTCTTATTCTGTTCTATTCTTTTTTTTTTTTTTTTAAACAAATAACTGGTTTCAGCCCACAAACTCAATTGATCCCCTGCCCCGCTAACCAGGTTGTGCCTCAGATTGGAGGACGCTACCTTGGTTGATAGGTGTCTCTGTGAGGCCTCAGCTGGCCAGGCTGGGCCAGGCGTTCTGTGCCGCGGCCACTGCTGACGGCTGGTTCTCTGTGGTCGCTGCAGGACACAACTCGGACGGGAAGTTCATTGCCCGGGCGCAGCGGATAGAATACGACTGCGAGCTGGTGCCCCGGCGAGTGGCCATCTTCATCGAGAAGACGAAGGACGGCCAGATCCTGCCCGTCCCCAACGTGGTGGTCCGGGATGTGGCCTGTGGCGCCAACCACACGGTAAGGCTCAAGTGTTTCTGACTTTTCCTCTGCTTCCCGGGGCTTACCGCAGGGGAGACGTTCGGCTCTGCACGGTCGGGAGCTGAGCCGGGCATCCTCAGCGCCTGCCCTCCTCCTTGGGCTTGGCACCTGGACTTGTTCACGGGCGTCGTCTGCAGACGTAGCTAAAGCACAGGCGCTTCGGGCTGGGATCACCGAGCGTTTTTCTGCGTTTGGCTTCTGTGCTGAGAGTGTCACGGACGTCGTTCCGAGTCAGCAGACGATAACCCAGACAGGTGTTGAGCAGGTTGTGTCATTAAGGCTGTTTCCTTAAAAGGTCCATCTGGATAAATGGCAGTGAGATTTCGGTATGTGCATCTCTTTATCTTAGTTGCCTCCGTGTGGTTGTTTTGCCCCTTAGAGTCGGTTGAAGGAGCAGGGACGGGGCTGGGCTTCAGAGACAGGTCAGTCTCGTGCACATGGCCGGCTGGCTGAGTGATCTCCGGCACTAGGAGATTTTAGTCCTTTCAAGCCCCAAAACTGCTTCTCTCCTGTACAGCGTAGTCAGGAGAAACAGATCTTATTTAGATCTCTGACATCAAATCCTGTTAATGGGTGGTTCATTCACACGGTTCAAACGTGAGACATCAAGGGTACTTCGGGGGAAAAGAAGATGAATTTAAAATTGTTGGCATGTGGGCGGGGGTGCCGCCCCAGTGACCAGGTGGAGGGGTGACCGGAACGGGCGGGGCTTCCCCGGCTGTGTCCGCAGTTCAGTCAGGAGTGAATTGGGACGTGCAGGGCCTGGGCTGCTCCTGAGACAGAAGCCTCATGCTTCTGATGAGGGCAAGGCAAAGACTTGTGTCTTCGAGCCATAATAATAGGAGTGGAAGGTAGTGTCCCTGGCGGAGAAAGGGCCACGTCCGCTGCTGGGTGCCTCCCCCACTAGAGGTGGGCGTGGGTCATCTTGGGTGTTTCTGTCCCTGTGTCTTTCCCCACTGCCACAGGCTCTTGGAACAGCAGGGACCCCACTTGTCCCCGCTGGGGGCCGGCCTTGCAGTCTGCATTTTCTCTCCTGCAGCTGGTCCTGGACTCCCAGAAGCGTGTCTTCTCCTGGGGCTTCGGTGGCTACGGCCGACTGGGCCACGCTGAGCAGAAGGATGAGATGGTCCCCCGCCTGGTGAAGTTGTTCGACTTCCCTGGGCGCGGGGCGTCCCAGATATATGCCGGCTACACCTGCTCCTTTGCCGTCAGTGAAGTGGGTCAGTGACTCCCCATCCCAGCCTCAGGAGGGAGGTGTCGGGAGCCAAGTTTCAGGTTTCCCTCCCTGGCCACGTGCTCCAGTAGGGTGTCACGGAGTCCTTGTCCTATTCGAGACCAGGAACCTTGATTTCATTGACTTCCTGGTTCTTTGAGCCGAATGCTCCTTGTCACCTGGGCCAAGTGTGGCAGGCCCCGTTCCTCTCTCCTTCTTGAGAGCTTGTTTGGAGGTTCTAGCAGGGGAGTGCAGCTACTCGAATACACTTGACTGAGAACGGTCCTCCTCTATCGGGGATGGTCATCCTCTTCAGCTGAGCGTGCAGCTTTGGGCTCTTGCCTTCTTGATACTGCTGAGATGAGAATCCAGCCTTCGAGGTGACTGGGCACAGTGGAAACATGTTTGTCTTTCCCAGGTGGTCTGTTTTTCTGGGGGGCCACCAACACGTCCCGAGAGTCTACCATGTACCCGAAGGCCGTGCAGGACCTCTGCGGCTGGAGAATCCGGAGCCTGGCTTGTGGGTATGTGGCCCTGTCTCCTCGTGAACAGGGCGGGGTGGGATGTCTGTCCCCTCCTGGGCGTATTGGACGCACCTGGGAGGTGCCCTTTCGCTCGTGGGCATCGGGTGCACTGATTGCAGCGTTGGGACGAGGGGAAGGACTGCGCTTGGGAAAGAGGGCTAGGGAGGTCCTAGAACAGGTGACTGGCTTCACTGCCTTCACAGAGAGAGTCGCTTTAAAAGTTTCATTCTTTAAAGGCTCAGTGTCCCCTCCTTGTGTTGAGGGTTCAAAATTATATTTGGTCAGGAAATTTTAGTTTGGTCAGGAAATTTTAGTTACCCTGACACGTTGGGAAGAAGAAAGCACCGTTGTCAGTGATTTCCAGATTACTTAGAGGACACCTGTTGAGCTGTCCAGCACTTCCTGGTGAGGAGGTTGGTGGCATTCATCACCTGCCCGGATGTGTGGGGACGAGAGTGTAAGTTAGTTGTTAGGTTTGGTGTGGCTTTAATCTGAGAGCACTGGCCCCACTCCAGTTACTGTTCAGTGAGTTCTGCCCCCTCTGCAATGAACTGTCACTTCATTCTGATTTGGCCTCTTCTCCTTTTCCCAGTGTGTGTTCACCCCAAAAGTGACACCGCCTCCCTCCCCCCCAGCCCTGGACCCCCACTTGGGTCCTGTGTGGGTCGTGGCGCTAAGCATTTGGGGCCTGCATGGGGTAGTGTGTAGGCTGCAGGAGAAGCTGTTGGCCTGTGCTGTGTGTGTTGTTCAGAAATGAGACCCCTGTGGAGTTTCTAATGGGACCTGCTTGATTTAGTAGGTCACCCGTGCTCTTGAGCAGGGAACCCACGGGAAGCATCCAGGGCCGCTGGGCGGGGTGCAGGGTGGGCTGCTGGCCGCGGTGTTGATGGCCTCTGCCTGTTTGCAGGAAGAGCAGCATCATCGTGGCTGCGGACGAGAGCACGATCAGCTGGGGCCCATCGCCCACCTTTGGGGAGCTGGTAAGCTGGTCCCTGCGTGGAGGAGGCGGGACTCGGTCTGGGCTCTGCACCGCCTTCTGAAAATACAGAGAAGGAAAACATGCGTGTGTGTCTTTCTCTTGCATTAAGTTCTGCCGTATTCCTTAATGTCTGAGGCACTTCAGCTTTCAAAGAGGATTCTTTGCCCATCAAATAATTGTGTAAGCTCTCTCTGTCCACATTGTATGTGGAAATTGGGAAGTTTCAGGTCCCATTTCCCCTTGCGTTTTGTAAACTGTAATTGTGGGATGACGTCAGTAGGAAAGAGGTGGTTTCTCTTCCCGCTCCCCAGGAGGGTTTCAGTCAACAGGGACAGCATGTCCTTTTAAACTATGTGGCCAGTGGTGACTATGCATCGACTCTTCCTGGTTTCCAGCCTCATAGGTCATTTAGGGACATTTCTTCCCTAATTTTTTCCAGATAAGTTTGTCTGTGTTCCCTGCTTTTAATCTGTTAACTTGAGAGATTAGACCCCGTGGCCCTTGGTTTCCCACACACACTTGGCCTCCCTGTCTGATTCTTAGGCTCTGGGGCGTGGTGAGTCCTTAATTTCTAATTTCTTCATCAAGAAGAACAGGCGGGCCGTGGAGCTCATCCTGATGTCTGCCTGTCCTGGTTATGATTTGATCGTCAGCCTGGCTCTTTGACTTCCTGCTGGGAGCATGGCCTGTTTCCCTTTCCTCTGCTCTCATGGGTGGGAGCTGATGGGGGACGGAGGGGAGGGAAGGGCTTGTTGACCCCTCGCACCATCTCCAGGGCTTGGAGGCTGAGTCCTCAGGGCTGCGCACATGCTTTAGCAGATAGTCGGGCCCTTCAGAGGCGGCCCCGCGTGGAACCTTGACAGAGACCCAGAGCCTGGCCCAGTTTTTAGGGGCTATTCATAGAGGAGGGCAGATGTTCTTGGGGCCTATCAGAAATAGACTCCGAGTATCAATTTTGAGACTAGAGGGGTACGAGGAGGACTTGTGGGGCAGCCACAGCTTGGGGTGAGGAGGTGGCGTGGCACTCGGCCGGTAGCGGGTGAAGCTCACTGGCCACATGGCCCCACTTTGGGCTGAGCTGAGGGATCTGCCCGCCTTGAAGTCACCCACCTCCATGTCACAGCGCATGACACCCCCCCAAGCAGCCCTGGACCATCCCTTCAGCCCTTGGTGTCTGGAGTCACTGATCACAGACTCGGGGCGGGGACGGGGCGGCCAGCGCTCTCTGACCTGGTAGCCCCGGGGGGCCGCGGCTGCCGTTTCTTCCTGTGCTCACGATGGTGTCATCTAACCAGTGACTCCCCAGATAGTGCCTCTACCACACAGACCCCTGCAGCTTACATTTTAGCATCTCACTCTTCGTTGGGTTAGGAAACTGGTCCCCGCCCCGCCCCTGCCCGGCAGCAGTTCTGTGGTGCATTGCTGCCCAGACCTGGCCCCGTGTCTGAGACCTGGGGGCTTGGCCACAGAGGAGCCCCGGGTCAGCGGGAGGCCCAGACTTGCGGCCGTCCTTCCCTCCTTCCAGGTGGCCAACAGCGACCCAGTTCAGTGTCCCTCTGTTTGCCTCACCAGGGCTACGGGGATCACAAGCCCAAGTCTTCCACGGCGGCTCAGGAGGTGAAGACGCTGGACGGCATTTTCACAGAGCAGGTGAGGACCCCTGTGCCGGGAGCAGAGAAGGAGGCAGGGCCGATTCACGCCTCTTCCTGCTTCTGGCCTTTGCAGCCTGTTTGAGCCTCGTCTGACATCTTGCAGCATCTTTCCTGTGCCCGTGCTAGAGTTTTTTCTGGTGGGTGACTTGGAGAGCATAGAGGTGTGCTGGCCAGACCCGAGGGCTATTTGCTGTGGGGGCACCAGCCACGGTGCACATTTGCTCCTGGCCGAGTGTGTGGCTCAGTCTGCTTTGCCCCTTCGCCCAAGACTCTGCACACCCTTAAGCCATGGGGCAGATGGTGGGGAGAGGCCCCTTGCTGTCAGTCAGGCAGGCTGCCAGCCCTATGGCCGAGACACAGATGGGGCTTGTGCCCGCACATGAGGCAGGATCGTGGTCCAGAGACGGAGAAATGGAGCACGTCCGCGAGTCCCTGTGGGCCTCTGCCAGCACTCAGTGCCCAGGCTCTGCCTGTGGGGGGCCTCCTGCCATCTCGTCTCCCTAAGACGTCCTGGAAGGCAGGCTGGCAGGTCACACTGACACTGGTGGTCTTCACTGAAGGGCTTTCTTAAGCTCTTCCGGACGCTTCCATCTTGACCTCTGTAGTGACCTTGTGGGCCAGCCCAGCTTCCTGGCATCCCACTGTCTGCCTTGTGCTTTTTGGCCCCGAACTCCGGGACTAGCTGCAGTGTTCTTGCCCACCCAGCGCTGGTTTGTCCCCCCCAGGTGGCCATGGGTTACTCACACTCCTTGGTGATAGCGAGAGACGAAAGCGAGACGGAGAAGGAGAAGATCAAGAAACTGCCAGAGTACAACCCCCGGACCCTCTGACTCTCCCGGAGCCTGCAACTCCACACCTCTCGCGGCAGCTGTCATTTCCACGTGCACTGGGACGGGAAGTCGAACGAGGAATTTTAAAAAGCAAAAGTTGACCGAAGGTGCATTTTTGTTAGACTCCCTGAGGTTCCGTTTTATAAGTGATTCAACGTCAACTACCTTTTCTGTATGCTTTCCAAAGTGGTTTTTTTTCCCCTCTTTATGTTTAATTAAAATATTTGCTCAGAGTTGATTTACCATTCCTACAAAAGAGGCAAAAACTTTGAGCAATCTAGATTTTTTTTAAGTTGTTTTTCTTTCCTCCACCCCCTCCTAAAATATACTTCTCTAAACACCCCCTTTTCCGGTTGATTAGCATTGTGATCTGAGTGGGTGCTGCCTGGGAGAGCAGTCACCACGTACTCAGAAAAAAATGTCCCTTGTGGGAGCCGGCAGCATCCAGGCAGAGACGGTCCCTGGTGGTCGATCTCCATCGAGAATCACACCTGCGTGCTTGGAAGCATCTGGGTCACTTCTTTCCTGCTTTTCCTTCTAGACCGGCCAAGTCCGCGTGCGTTCCGCTTCTCCCCTTGGCTGCTTGTAAGCCCCACCGCCTTTTGGCTGCAACATTAATAGAATCCGCCGTTTCCCCCCTGGTGGGGGCTCTCGGATCTGTGTTTAGCCATTTCTATCTACTTTAGCTGTAAAAGAAGTCCAAATGAAAATCAGGTGACCGTGGAACCAGTGAGGACTTGGGGGTGGGCAGATGTGGGGACAATGTATCTGGTTCAAGATCTGGCTTGAAGGCTCCTCTGGTGAGCCCGGGCCACCTCGCCAGCACTCGCCGTTAGAGATTGATCAGCCAGCAGTGAAAAGTGCATTCTGGAATCCTTGCAAAGAAGGATCAGCTCTTTGTGTGCCAGCCCCTGTTGCCTCTGTGCTTCTGTCTGTATTCCGACCCCCTCCCCCAGCCGGATCCTGCTGGAACGGGTGCAGTCTGTTCCTGAGGCTCAGGGTCCCGCTCGGCCAACCCAGCTCTGTAGTCGCGTGCGCTCGGCTGAGATACCAAACAGCTGGGACGATGGAAGAAGCCCCTCGTCCCCGCATGTCGGCGCAGAGGCTGCTACTGCCACCCGCCTCCCCGCCACGTGCCCTCCGCCAGAGCCCGTCAGCGGCGTTGCGCTGCTCTGCGTGAGTTACCAGGTGCCTTTCCCGGAACCCTCCTCTCGCTTGGACCCAAGAGAGGCGACAGCTCTGGCTGGGGCTCTTGGTTTCGAGAGGGTCTGGACTGGTTTGGGTGCTTTAAAATAGATTTTTTAGTTCAGTGGTGCTTATGGGGGAGATGCGGATAGAACTCCAGTGTGAGACTTGGGTGGATGGGAAAGTTAAATAACTGGTCTTTTTTATTTTTTTGCTTTGCTGTTGTTACCACGTGTCATTGTCTTGATGTTAAAATGCCAAAAACGATCTAGTTGTTGCTTTTTTCCCTGCTCGGCCCCCCTGTCGCTCCTGCCTGGCTCCTGCCTTTGCAGGTTGTCCTGTCCTGGCCGGGAAGAGGCTGGCCTGCATCTTTCTAAGATTTAGTCTGACTTCATGCTCGTCTCTACTGTCCTGTGTTAATAGTCCAGGGGAGAAGCTTCTGCAACTTCAGAGCTTCTGCTAAACTAACCTAACTTGTCCAAGTCACCCCAGAACCACCATCCCTGTCTCAAGCTTCCCTGTGTAGAGCCCATCAGTTTCCCCGGACAGGTCTCTTACCCGGAATGGGCTGAGGTGCGAAGCGCTCTTTGTGCCTGCCCATCCTCCCTGGGGTAGCGCGGTCACCAAGAGGCTTGGGGGAGCAGTAGCCTGGGTCCTGGCCTTTGCAGGAACTGCCCTTGGCCAAGCGCGACTTTGATCTTCAAGTAGACTCATCTGAAGCCCAGCACCCCCGCCTGCTTTAGGACCCCCTTGTCCTGGGACTGGAGTGGGAAGGGGACGGCCCTTCCGAGTGGAGACTGCCCTGTGCTCTCCCACAATCACTCCTCTGGGCTAAGGCTTTTAAAATAAACTTCCTAATGGGGGGGAAGTCCTTTAGTACAAGGAGTTGGGGGAGACGGCCCTGCACTCCGAGAGGAGGGGAGGCAGCGACTCTGGCCAGGGGTGTGCTTTGCAGTGACCCTCTGGGCACCTGACCTGTCTTCCAGCTCAGGAAGGAGACTGTGGGTGAAGAGGCTTAAAGATAAGGGGAGAATCCAAGAAGAGGTTGTGATTTGGTCGAAGGTGCCTGGTTTAGTGCTGTAATTGTCTTTTTATATATATATATTTCTGGGAGTAAACATTTTAAATAAACGACATGATTGTTTACTCTGTTTCGGCTTTTGCACTTCTTTTTCAGCAGAACACACACAAGTGAACACGGAACTATTTCCTGTCCCCGCTCCCACTCTGGGCCCCAGGGGGAAGCCACACCAGAGTTGGGAGGTGAGCGCAACTCCCAACTCTGTCCCATGAAATACGTGACCTGCAGGGAGGCTTCAGCACCTCACTGGCCCAACTTAAAAACGGAGTTTTTCTTGTTTATCACACTGGCTTTGAGAGGATGAGATAAGAGGCATGGAAAGCACCTGAACCGTGATATACCACAGGTTCCCCACCTTTCCATCCACTCCTGATAAGAACTGCGGGGGTCGGGCCAGTGCTGGCCCCTTCCTGGCAGTGTGGTGAGCTGTCCACCAGGGGGCACCAGGAGGCCAGCCACGTGTTCAGAGGCCCCAGGCCTCTGTTCTGTCCAGGTTGACAGCCTTTGCTCCCAGGTTTCTCCAGGCCTCCAGCCACCAATGTTCCAACACCGGTCCTCATTTTTGGAGCCTCTGGGCTGCGCGCTGCTTTATGCTATTAGATCAGCACCTCCCACAGGCACTGACTGCCCCCATTCCAAGTGCCTCCGCTGCTTGGAGCTTCCCAGCAGCAGGAGGAGGGGTAGGGTGGGGCAGCACTGGTTAAACCTCAGGATGGTTAGTTTTCTCGTGCCCTTAACGTAAGGGTGGGCAGAGAGAGGGAAAAAGGCAGCTTTGGGTCCCAGAGGGGGCAGTTCCTCTCGCCTGGACACTTCAGGCTCAACAAGGGTCTATGCAGGCCTGTCCCAGCTACTCCTGTCTGAGGCTACACCTGCCAACCAAGGAGCCCAGGGCCTCCCTGCTGAAGCCAGCTGTCCTCAAGGCACAGGATCCCCCCACCTTGGGGCCGGCCCCTGCAGCTCCTAGCAGTCTCCAGAGGGAGTCCTTCCCCCCCTCCCCCCAGCCTGGATTCTGTCCCATTCTGCTCAAGCATCTAAAATCAGCTAGTCAGATGCTCAAACTGGAGAGTTTGAGTGATCTGAGCCTATCTCCCACAGGCAAAGATGACGAAGATGAAGGACGGCAACCCCACGTTAGCCCAGCCCCCCACCCCCGCAAGTGAGACAGCTTGACCACAGCTGTCCCAGCTGCCCTGCTTTCCGACCTTAGCTGTTACTCACCCCCTTCCCCGAAACAAGGAGGCCACTGCCAAAATGCATTCAGAAGGGCTAGAGCTTTAGTGGACATTCAGCAACCTCTCAGCTGAAGACTTTTCCATCTTTTTCCAAGGGAGTCAAGCTGGCAGCATCACCACCCCAGTGGATACTGAGGGACAGGTGAACAGGATGAGGGAGGGGTGTAGCACCCTGACTCTCCGGGGCCCCCGAACAGGGCAAGAATGGGATGCTGTTAAATGGTGATCGTGGACCATTCGTGCTGGGGGCGGGGCTGGGGTCTAGGGCACCATCCTCCACCATTTGAAGGCAAAAGGCACCCGGCGGATGTTGGCACAGGAGCAGAAGTCTCCAATTTCAGTCAAGTAGCAGTCGAAATCGTCGATGAAGGTGCATTGGAATCCCAGGGGCTCCAGCAGCTGGCAGACCTTTTCCTCCAGGCAGCAGGTGCCATTGATCCGGGGCCCGAAAGGCTTGGGGATGCCCAGGTTTGTGCCCATCACGATTATCTGCAGCTGTCAGAGAGGTGTCAGGATGAACAGGGGGCAGAGCTGGGAAGGAAAGGCCCCTGTCCTTCTTCTAGATCAGGAAGGTCACTGGATTCAGTGCAGGGGAAGACAGCTGCCTCCGCGTGGCTGGGCGGAACCAGGAATAACAAGTCCAGGGACCCCTGCTCCAGGCCTGTGCTCGGACAGATGGCACTCAGCAATTGGAGCAAACACCAAGCCACTTCTTAGCCCTCCAAGGGCTCCTGATGTGTTTCAGTAACACAACCAAACTCCTTCGTGGCCGAAGTCTTGGCTTTTCCAGCTTCCCCTGGTCCTTCTGCTGCTGCCTTCTCCTGTCCTGGCCCTTTAGTCTTGTCTGGGCCATAATCTTGCCTACTTTGACTGCACTGCGCTCCCGCCCCCAGCTCTGTCATTGGACTTTGGTCCATTTTTCATATCTCAACTCCAGCATCTCCTCTCCCTCTTCCCACCGCTACCCACAGCTACTCCCATCCCAGGGTCTCTGATCAGCTCCATTTCAGGCCCAGAGGGCCTCACTGGACTTGCAAAATGAAAAGATAACCACGTGTGATGATTGAATGCAAGGCCTGTGTCCCTGCGGCTCAGAGAACAGGTCTGCAAGTGTTCAAGGAATGGATGAGCCCAAGCGTCTCAATTCATTCCAAGTGCCGACGTGATGGGTCACAGCTGTGAGAAAGGTCAGGTGTAGGCCACGTTTGGAATAGACTTAGTGTAACAAGGGTCTCCTACATACCCACACCCAAATTCTCAATTCCTACTCTAGATAGGTGTTTAAATACTTCTGAGTTCTGAGTAATGGGGCTCAGGTGAGTGGACAGGAAGACCCCATCAGGGAGTTCGCCCGTGCTCTCATCGCAGATGGCTTACCACCCTCAGCTCTCCGAGCACAGCGCCCCGTCTGAGGTGGGCCGCCTCGCGTCTACCTCCTAAGTGTGGGGATTAGCCCGGGGTCCGACCCAGCCTGGGCCCTGCTCACCTGCTTCTGGGAGGGGTCCTCCCACACGGCAGAGGTCTTTCATGTCACTTCCTCTCAGCCCACCCCCCACCCCTGTAGTCTAGCACCATGTCCATCAAGAAAGCCAGACAGCCCCCACCCCCACCGCGGGGACGCCTGGCCCGCCCCCTCACCAGGTCCGGGAAGTAGGGCCTGGCGAAGAGCTTCTGGGTCTGCTCGCTGGAGGGGACGTTGGTGAGCTGCTCCAGGCAGAAGAGCTGAGGGATGTCGATGATGTCCTTCTCCACCAGGCCCAGCTCCCTTTTCAGGATGTCACGATTCAGATTAATGCAGTTCTGAGGGGCAGGAAGGGGCCGGGAGGGGCGTGAGTTCATGGGTAGCGAGACAGCTGCATCCTCTCTTCACTGACTGCGGGCCAGGAGCTGTGCATGGCGGGCCAGCCCACAGAAATAGGGGCTCAGAGAAAAGGCCTGGTCTCAAGAGGCCAGGATCCCTCAGCTAATCAGGCCCAAGGCAGCTACTAGCCCCAATTCTATTGTCATTTGGGGCCCCTTGGCCCTCAGTTCTGGTCAGAGTGGGGAGCCAGGGCAAGAATAAGTCCTCAGACCAGGCACTCGCTTCCTTCCTTAGGAAGGGACATGAGCCATGGACCCCTGGGCACTTCCCTGCTCAGATCAGCTAATACCTGACTCCTAACCATCTCGTAGGTCTTGACACAGGGCTCATGACCTCACACCCAAGGGTGTGTGTCACCAGGGCTCAGGCATGCTGTTTTGACTGCACTCCTGGCCGCTGCCCGCACTGCCCTGCCGGGGGGCCTCCCCAGTTTCAGCCGAGGTCAGGGCATGATGCACGCCTTGGCCAGGAACCATGAGGACTCGGTGGGCCGAGTGGTCTTGGGCTGACCAGGTGACCTCAGGCACGTCATTGCCCTTCTTCAGGCCCTGGCTTCCCTGTTACAGGTTGGATTTTTTCTGGGAACTGCTTCTCAGCCTGTGATTCATGTTGAAAGAGAGCTGAGGTGCTGGGTGATTCTGAGACGAAGGGCTGCTTCATCCAGGAAGCGTTGAGAAGGCCCTGGTGTGTTCAAGTCTCAGGTGCTCAGTGCTTCCTAGAGAAGCTGTGTGTTTGTGTGTGTGTGTGTGTGTGTGTGTGTGTGTGTGTGTGTGTGTGTGTGTGTGTGTGGTGTGTGTGTGTGTGGTGTGTGTGTGTGGTGGTGTGTGTGTGTGGTCGGTGTGTGTGTGTCGGTGGTGTGTGTGGTGGGTGGTGTTGTGTGTCGGTGCGTACGACGACGAGGAGGG